GTGGCAGAGGGTGATGGGTGATGGCTTGGCCTGCTCTGCAGAGGACCTGGGGGACCCAGGGGACCATGGGGATGGGCCCCGTGTGAAGGTGGGCAAGGGGTGGGTAGGGAAAACACTGGAGGTTTTTTTGGGGGGGTTGTTTGTCTGGCTTCTTGGGGTGACGGGTGGGGAAGAATGCAGGGGAGGAGGATGCGGGGATGTGGGACACAGCTGAGAAATGGGGACACGGAATGATGGGGACGTGGGACACGGCTGAGCAATGGGCTGTGGGCCATGACTGAGTGATGGGGATGGGTGACATGGAGTGATGGGGACATAGGACATGGCTGAGTGATGGAGATGGGGGACATGGAGTGATGGGGATATGGGACACGGCTGAGTGACGGAGCTGTGGGACATGGAGTGATGGGGACACGGAGTGATGGGGACATGGGACACGGCTGAGCAATGGGCTGTGGGCCGTGACTGAGTGATGGGCATGGGTGACATGAAGTGTTGGGGACATGGGAGTGGCTGAGTGACGGTGTTGTGGGTCATGGAGTGATGGTGACATGGGACATGGCTGAGTGACGGAGCTGGGGGACATGGAGTGATGGGGCCATGGAGTGATGGGGACATGGGACACAGCTGAGCAATGGGCTGTAGGCTATGGCTGAGTGATGGGGATGGGTGACATGAAGTGGTGGGGACATGGAACATGGCTGAGTGACGGAGCTGGTGGACATGGAGCGATGGGGACATGAAGTGATGGGGACATGGCTGAGTGATGGAGCTGGGGGACTTGGAGTGATGGGGACATGGGACATGGCTGAGCGATGGACATGAGACAGCTCAGTGGTGGGGAAATGAGACGCAGAAAAGTGCTGGGACATGGGGCATGAAGTGATGGGGACATGGGACTTGGAGTGATGAGGACATGGGACATGAAGTGACAGGGATGTGGGACATGAAGTGATGGGGATGTGGGACACAGCTGAGCGATGGAGCTGTGGGCCATGGAGTGGTGGGGACATGGGACGTGAAGTGATGGGGACACAGGGCGTGGCTGAGTGACAGAGCTGTGGGACATGAACTGATGGGGACATGGAGTGATAGGGGTGTGGGACACGGCTGAGTGACGGAGCTGTGGGACATGGAGTTGTGGGGACATGAAGTGATGGGGACATGGCTGAGTGATGGAGCTGTGGGACATGGAGTGATGGGGTCATGGGACATGGCTGAGCGATGGACATGAGACAGCTCAGTGGTGGGGAAATGAGACAGAGAAGTACTGGGACATGGGGCATGGAGTGATGAGGACATGGGATATGAAGTGATGGGGATGTGGGACACAGCTGAGTGACGGAGCTGTGGGCCATGGAGTGATGGGGACATGGGAAGTGAAGTGATGGGGACACAGGGCGTGGCTGAGCCATGGACAAGGGACACAGCTGAGTGGTGGGGACAGGGGACATGGAGTGATGGGGATGTGGGACACGGCTGAGTGACAGAGCTGTGGGACATGGATTTGTGGGGACATGGCGGAGTGACGGAGCTGTGGGACATGGAGTGATGGGGACATGGGACGTGACTGAGCAACGGACACGGGACACAGCTGAGTGGTGGGAAAATGAGACACAGCTAAGTGGTGGGGACGTGGGACATGGAGTGATGGGGATGTGGGACA